GAAGACCAAACAAAGTAGTTTCGCTTTCACAACGAAACACACAGCGTCTTCACGAGATGGCATGTTGCCAACAACATTACTACAGCGAGAATCAAAGTTACGCCTTCTTTCTTTGCGTGAACATTTGGGCGGTGTTATGCAAATCTTCCCAATAGTGACGTAGACATGTGGGGGCGTGTTAGAACGAGCCGTTTTAGGTAGGCGTGGCTGACTCTTAACTTTTATAAAGAATATCTCTTTGGATTTGAGACTTTAGTCTTTGCAACTTTACAGATCTTCTTTATGCACCAAGAGCTTGTAACACTCCAAAGAGAAAGGAAAAATTGAAATCGCATCATATGACCCCTTTAAGAAAAATGCATTTTATGGTAAGTGATTTACTTACATGTAGATATTCCAGCTCCAACCATACAGATAATGTTCTTGCCTGTTGAGACAGTCAGACACATCCAACTTACTAAAAGGCATCTCAGTAGCTGATTCAAAAATAACTCTGCATAAACAAAGGTGCAATATTTTACCAGCTTCAGTGTTTACACAGGAAGCCAACCAACAAATGTTGTTGTTTTTTTTGCAGCTGACTGTTCATATTGAATTGAATATAATAAAGTATTTTAACACTGAACACACTTCACTTTTAAAGAATGGACTCATCTGAGAAGTTAACTCACATGTGCCACTCAGGATATAGCGGGCGACCCCATCCAGGGTCAGCTCATCCAAGACTTTTTCTCCAGGACTCAGGCCAAGAGTTCGCGAGAAGAGACTGCGTAGGAAATCCACTGAAAAAGGAGCATATCTAACTTCAGCTTAGATCACATGATTTCTTTAAATGTACTTTAAGACTGACTATTTGACATATACTCTCAGTGTCTCCTGAAGCGTCGCCCTCGTCGCTGCTGTCGTCAGACTGACCCTGCAGAAAAGTGTAACAAAATAATACTTTTCGTTTTGGCATACATATAAAGTGGTGGCTTACTGTGCCGAACATGGTAGATGTTTACTACATTTACATATGTTGTGTTTATATCTCATGTTCACATATTCATTTCCTAAGCATACATTTGTTTTGCAGGAAAAAAATACTGAAAAATAAAAATACTGCAGAGGGGGGAAATAACACTAGAACAAGCTAATATATCAGCTAAAATTTGGCCTTTTTAAAATGATTGGCACAGGTTGGAGTAGTTTTATGAAATCATTTTATTAATATGCAATTTTATGATTCTATTGTTGTTTTAGATTTTAACCACTGACAGTAATAATAACGTACTATTACTGTAAAGTCAAATGGTAATGGAATGGCATTTTGATAAATACAAAGAATACAATGTCACTTCCATGGTCCAAGGTCCAAGTGCAAAAACAAAACAAAACATGGTACTAGCTTTGTGCAAGTCTCAAAATACATGGTATTACTATGGTACATCTCCATGATAAGTATAATGGACGTGTTGTGTGACGTGTCTGATGTTTTGCACATATCTTACATGTAATGTTTATATCTATAGACGTATGTGCATCTCTGTTATAACATTTACTCACAATTGTATCTTTATTTACCTCGAGATCTGGTGTAAAAGCCTCCTCTTCTGCCCTTTTAGAAACCTCTACAGGACAAAATAACACATGCCATACTGATGTGAATGTCATAATAGCTAATATCAGTCACATAAACAGTGGAAGAACTTCCAATACACAACTAGCTTTCTCTTTTGCTAAAGGCTAACTGTGTCTGATAACACCCACATAAACAAATGCACAATCGTAATACTACCTTCAGACATCTATCCGCTTTCAAACAGTACTAAAAATCCCAAAACACATAAAGTTATGAGATGACAGCAGTTTTTTTTAAAGGGACAACTGCTTGTGTGCGTCGCTAATATTTCATTGGGTGGCTAATGTTGATAGGTGTGGAACATACGGTCCGTTCCTCGAGGGGGCGCAATAGAGGCTCAGAGAGCCGAGTCCTCCGTTGAGTCGCATTCAAATCAAAGGACGAATTATATTTTACAGGAGAAATTTATAAGCTTAATCGTATATTCGTTTAAATGTATCCATGTAAAGGAGTGTTACCTAGTATGCAAATACAAATCCGCTTTTATAAAATTGTTTAAAAAAAATGTTTCCCAGCGATTACAAACGACTGTGATTAGTCGGTTAAGGCTAGAAGGGATACGTATGGTGCTACTGGGCATGCGCACATCAATACAGCGTAATTTTTGTCACACTGTACAACAATAATTACTATTTTTTCATTATTGTAAGGGGTAGGTTTAGGGTTGGGGTAGGTGTAGACGTTGATAAAACACAATCTAATAGGTAGAAAATTAATTGATGAGAAAAGTAACAAGTATCGCATGATAATGCAGTGCGGTCAGTGCTGCTTAAGTGGCAGTTTTGAGACAGACACGATAATTAATTCAGGTTTCTTCATCCACCTTTCCTGTGTATGTTTTTATCAAATTGTTTAAAAAAAATGTTTCCCAGCGATTACAAACGACTGTGATTAGTCGGTTAAGGCTAGAAGGGATACGTATGGTGCTACTGGGCATGCGCACATCAATACAGCGTAATTTTTGTCACACTGTACAACAATAATTACTATTTTTTCATTATTGTAAGGGGTAGGTTTAGGGTTGGGGTAGGTGTAGACGTTGATAAAACACAATCTAATAGGTAGAAAATTAATTGATGAGAAAAGTAACAAGTATCGCATGATAATGCAGTGCGGTCAGTGCTGCTTAAGTGGCAGTCTTAAATATTTTACACCTGAATAACACTGTTAAAATTTTATAGCAAAAATATGCAAAAAAAAAAAAAAAACCCAGGAAGTTTAATTATCATACTTGACCAATTAGAGACTCCTTCCAGGCCTCTAATGCCCGCCCAGTTCGGATTTTCCTGAAAATTGCCATTAGACCCACTTCTGTATTATTTCTACATAATATTTCTCTGCACTTCGTAGCTCAAATATTCCAGGTGGAAACTTTGTACAAAACATGTCTTTCAATGCAATGTTAATGCAACAGTGTAAGACAAAGTAACGTTAGGTGTTAAGACCACTGATCTATATAATATTATAGATCAGTGGTTAAGACTAATATTTTTTTTTCTTTTCGGATCTAAAGTGAATTGTTTAAATATTTGCATAATGGAGAGCAAAAGAAAAAAACATTACCTTAATTAATTCAGGTTTCTTCATCCACCTTTCCTGTGTATGTGCCTCAGTCTTTCTAACACTTAGATCCAATATCCTCACACCTCCATAAAAAGGATTACAGGATTTACTCTGACTAATCAGATTTGACACCTTTCACCTGTTGTTGTTTTTTTTAAATGGTAGCATAGTATAGTTTATATTTAATAAATCAAATTTAAGAACACGTTGCATATTAAACATCAATATTTATCGTGTCTGTCTCAAAACAATGATCAAATACAATGTATTGTACATAGTAAAAACAGAAACATAGCCTATACATGAGCACAGCACTTTATTAGAATAACATGTTTGGGCACTGCAATGAACAATAATATAGAATCTCCACTGTCATCAGCTTCATAGTTTATAGATGTCTAAGTCCAGTGTGTGTGGAAGCTTGGTGATGGTCCTCTGTTTGCTCTTGGCTGTCTGGCTGGATCAGGCCCTGCTCGTATTCCGCTCCAGAGACCTGGCAGTGCGGCAGCATTTCCTCCAGTAGAATCCGTACCAGGCCTGGATTCTGCAGCCGTGGAAGTCCGGAAATGTCCAGCCGCTCTAGCTTTCTGAGGGTTTAAGGTGGAGGGAATAAAATAACACAGAATATGAGATTTTCAAACACATACAAATGTATGTTTTGGTTATTTGTTGCCCTGACAACAAAAATCAAGTTGCTCCAGATAATGCACATGTGCATAAGACACAAGTGAAGATCTGAGGTTCTGTAATGCAGAAAATGACCTGAGGTTCTGTAATGCAGCGAGGCCTCCCACAGTGATACGAGAGCAGTGGGACAGGTCTAACGCCACCAGACTTTCTCCAAAGACATGGAGACGTGCAAGGAACCAGTCATCCACTTCAGGACATCCTCGCAGAGAGAGAGTCTGAAGTTTATTCTGCTTCACTGAGAAGAGACAATTTGTTTGTGTGAGCCATGGAAGAAATTACACCTCAGCAACATGTTTTAGTGGAAGCTGTGAGATCAATTATTTATCATATGTTCTGTTTCCTGTAAGATTCAGGGAATGCTTTTCTGTGGTCTATGGATAGACTGCAAAAAAAGATTAACAACGTAGAAAAATGAAGCCAAAATGTCCTTGAAATGCACTGATGACATCTTCAACGGTGTAATTAGATTACTATACAAATTACTCTCTCCAAAAAGTATTTAATTACTTATTACTAATTACTTTCTAAATCCTAGATCAACCTCGACAAGTTAATAATACAAGGATATACATGAAACGGTTCTTTTAATTCTTTCAAATAAATACAAAATAACTACATAAATTATTCTGGTCACACTTTAGATTAGGGTCCATTTCTCACTATTAACTATGACTTTTGCCTCAATATACCCCTAATTACTACTTATTAATACTTTGTAAAGAAGTTGTTAAGTTTAAGAATTGGGTAGGAATTGTGCAGGATTCAGAATAAGGTCTTGCAGAATAAGACATTAATATATTCTTTTTAAGTAATAATAAACAGCCAATATTCCAGTAATATTCATGCTAATAACCAAATAGTTAATAGTGAGAACTGGACACTAACGTGTTACCAATATTCTTATTAACTCACCAAAGAATTTAAAGTGAGAAGGGTACATAAAAAGCACGCATTTTAAGGTCAGACTTTACATTTTGATGTTAAATCCACTATTGTATATAAGTCTATACACAGCATTAAGTTCAATTACATAAGTAACTAATTATATTACAGAAAAAAAATAAGAGTAATCCCTTATTTTACTTTTTCAAAGAAAAAGTAATTAAATTACAGTAACTAGTTACATTGCTTATTAGAAAAGTGAACATTTGAACATACATCAGCGATAAGGAAGATAAGACCTAAAATGAAGAAAAAAGTGTCATTTGATTTTTTAGTTCGGCTCACATCCCATTCGTTTACATGGCGAGAGAGAGGTTTTTGCCATATATAAAGTCACCATGGGGTGATCGGAATGTTTGACTTCACTTTTCAGGACATGTGTGGCATATTTGAGTCTATGTCGATACTGTTCATCAAACTGCAATTAAATTTTGAGATGCTTTCAAAGCAAATAAGCAATGCTCCAGGAGAGGCCAAGGATAGCAGAATATCTCAGACTCAGAACATTACTCAGAACTCTGATTTTTAGAAAACGAAAACTACAGAACGGGTACAAGGAAAAAAAAAAAAACATGATTTTGCATGAGTTTGATTTGGAACTCACAAAATGAGTTCAGACGAGATGGAGACAAGAACATAATTTGGCTTGGCGGCAAATACAAATAAGGATTTGACCGGTCAAAGGCTTAGTCATCTGGAGATGCATGATAGTTCATGCAACAAATGTATATTTATATAAAACAAAAGTAGATTACCAAGGTTTTCAAGTCCATTATGGTTTATTAGGGTGCCACTCAGATCCACTTCCTCAATTTGTGCATCAGGTGTGCTCATGAAGTCATAGCTGAATCTTCCTCTAGAGTCTGGACGAAACCATTCGGACTGGCCAGCAAATCTACAGACACAAGCATTACGCAATGGAGACAATTTAACAATGTCTACTACTTACAGGAAGGAAGACGCTGAATGAGTCAATGACATATAAAAGTGGGGGTTTGTATGGTTCTGGAAAATAAAAACACCATGAATTTTAATACCATTATTATTTTATGGATTAATTGACTGCATGGGTTCTCTCTAATATATTATTTCCTGCTTTTTTCTTTTGTAGAATTGTATTCTTTTTTTCTTCATTATGACAACAGGACATTATGTACCACTGACACTTCTGACCTCAATTCAGAATTTAAAAACAGGCTCAGCATAAAAGGTGCATTCAATTAATTAATGTATGATGTTTTAAAGTGCCCCTATTATGGATAATGAAAGGTTCATATTGTGGTTTTGGGAGTCCCCAACAACAGGTTACTTTAAAAAATGGCAATAATATCGCTTATCGCAATTATTTCTGGGGCAATATATCGCACAACAAAAAGTTGTTATCGTGACAGGCCTACTCTTTCTTTTGAGAGACAATAACTTTATACATGGTGCACTTTCAGATTTAAAACTTTGCAGGATGTTTTGATTCACTTAGGGCTGTGTTACACACTGCATGAAAGGTAATTTTCAAAAATCCATAATAGGTGCACTTTAAAAAGATTATTTTTACCTGAAGCTCCCTCTGAGAGTCAGAATATAATAGGCTGCTGCAACATTCTTCCCAAAATTCTTCTGTGCATAACCAAATAACCTATATAAAAAAAGAACTCAACATCAACATCTCAGTAAAAAATCAATAAGCAAATAAATAAAAATTACATTATGTGATTATAGAGACACTATACAGAGCACAGGACACCACAACATCCAGACACAAAAACAGTTTCTTGTCACTTGTCTCAATGCATTAGTTGTCAGTTAGCAGAGCCACTTAAAGTCTTACTATATTATAGCATATTTTTACAGTGCAACATTCTATACAGCAATATGACAAAACAAATGAACACATCTGAGAACACATGCACTGACACTTACCTGTTTTTGCGTATGACCGCTTGTGACCGCAACCAGTCGTTCCAATCCAAAATGTTCTCCACATCATAGAAGTAGTGACTGAGTTTTAATAAGAACCTGGTGAAGACAGATGGAGTGGCAGCACCTGAACTCAAAGCCCTCCTGACAGCAACGGCTGCACAGGTGTGTGCTGAACATCTTTTCATGGCTTGAGACTTTCGAAAGAGACAGTTGGAAAATATAAAGCCATAAAGATCATTTACAAAATGCTGCTACTAAAAAGATAAACAAATTCTGGTCCCTTAAGGACATACAAGTGAAAATGCATATCCAGCTATCAACAACAATTTTCTAGATTAAATTTAGAAATATAATATAGTATGTGAAACTGTAGTGTGAATACAGAAGACTGTATGATGGCACACATATTATCATGGTACAAATACATACAGGGGCTGGACAAAATAATGTGGGGTAAATATCATTTGTATAGGCTACAGTGAAAAAAAACAATGTATTTATATTTATTTATCTTTACATAGTCTATATTCTCTAGGTTGTATATGAGTCTATTATAAGTTGTGTTCAGGCCATGGCCATGACAGCAAATTTCAGTTTTTCATCTTGAATACCCTATTTCCAAAAAAAAAAAAAAAAAAGCACAAGCACAGAGAACTCCACAAAGCCAACATCCATGAAAGAGCTGCAACTTCTAAAATTCTAATCACAGGCACCAATGCTAAGATGTGTAAAATATGGTGTTGTGATTATAATACCTGGACAGCTGCAGCACCAAGATGAGCTCCAACATTTGCCCTGGCCAGACAAATCACCTGACTTGAGTATTACCAAACCACTATAGGCAGGTTTGAAGAAAAGAGTGAGAGGCTAATTCCCTCCTACATACGTCTTTGAAGCAACTATCAAAAGTTCTGATAGATGACAATCTACTCAAAAGTTATATGAATCTATTCTAAGAAGGTTTGAAGCTGAATTAACGGCAAATGGTGGTAAACACTTTAACATTAAATTGACCATTTCACAGGTGTTCACATTATTTTGTCCAGCCCCTGTACAGTGGTAAGGAATGAATTCATTTCTATGGGTGACATTTCAAACAATGCATATTAACAATAACATAAAATACCATGTTTTATTTCATATGTTTATGGCTATTTAATAATGAAAATTAAACATTCTACTAAATATGAGACTTGGAAATATTTTGTAATCACTCCATTTTCATCTTACCTTATTAAATTCACTTTTTATTTCTGTATCCTTTTTGCTATCTCACTTTAAATTCGATTGAGGTCCAGAAATTAACATTCCGAATTCAATGAATGGCGCATCAGCGGCGTATTTTCAAGATATTCTAATGTACTTCATAATACCATGGTACCAGGTCTAAAAGCCCATGAGTTTACCCTGGTACATGTCTAAAAACATGCCAATGACAAGGTGCATACCGTTACTCTTTTGCTAGTGAAGAGCTATACACAAGTAACTTTAATGTTGGACTATATAATGAACCAATTGTCATGTAAAACTCTGGCGTTTACTGTGCAGGAAACAAGACACCTGCTCCAATTTCATTAATAAACTATTATTTACGTAAGCAGGAGCATATTTAAACTCACCAACAAGGAGGCTGCCATGTTTGTTTTTCTTCTATGGCGGCTGTGAAGGGACAAACAAGAGCTCTAAAAGCTATGAGCAAACATCGGTTGTACACTCGTTTTGGGGATGCGTTATGTTATCAAATAAGAGCACTCGATAAAATAGGTGTTACATACAGTAGATATGTACTGTTTAGATCAATGGTTCGGAGCATTTATCTAATTTCAGTAACCAACCGAGTCCATGATTCGTACGTTGTATTTGTTTCGAAATATGAATGATTCGCCGTTAGAGGGCGATCTCAGCGAATCCATTAACCAGTGACTAGTTATTAGGCCTACTGTAGGCTAACTGATGTCGGATCATATTTTATAATGTAGACGATTTATTGGCATATTTGTAATGAAAGGGAAAAATATTAGTTAAATGTCTCGTGTTTAGCCAAGCCAAACAAAACAAGCCCTGCAAATGAGTAAAAGAAGTAGGCTAGGCCTACACAGTTTATACTGGCACTTCACATTTAATAATTTTTGATGATTTGTTGCATGTAATAGATTTTTAAAAAACTAAAAAAAAAATAATTTGTAATTGTTTTGTAAAAGGTGTGTGTATGCACATGCTTTAAATTGTGCTAATGAAATAAACATTGTATTGTATTGTAACATACAAAGAAAGGAAAACATGTGACGAATGAATCATACTTTATGTAACATTATTTAAATGTTTAATTTTAAATGTAATGTCCTCTTGGAAAAATAAGAAGTACTTACATAAATGTACTCATGTTGTGTTGGGATACAGTTCAGGTTAAGGACAGGTTTTGTTTTATAGTTAGGTTTAAAGGGTAGAGTGGGGTCAACAGTGTAATTATAGATGTAATTAGAACAAATTATTACAAATGTATTTACATGCAGGTCTTTTCAAATATATGTACAAACAATAAGATAAATTGATAAATTGATCAAAACAAAAAGTGGGTCTTCAATTTCTTTAAATCAACAAGAAAAAAATAAACAAAAATGTTTATTTTTGAAGCTATAAAGCTTCAAACTGGGGGGCCCCCAGTTTCTTACATTGTTTTGTTTATAATTTCTTAAATTAAGCAGATGAACACTTGAAATAGGAATTAATTTCAAAGTTGTCGTGCAGTGCAGGTGGTATCGGTGTTCTACAATTTTAGTTTTAGTGGGTTGATTTATGTTTGTTTTTTTTTTTTTTACATATTTTTACATATTTTGTGGAAGCGGCAGGTTAAGACAGAAGGTTTCGATTGTGACAATTTACCCTATATCAGTGCTTCTCAACTCTGTTCCTGACACCCCACATCTCTGCACATGTTGTATGCTTCTGTTATTTAGATCAGATTGATTCAGATAATCAGCTCGTTAGAAGAGCCAACCTCAACTTTCAGACACCATTTTTATTTTTTAGCTCAACTGTCACAGAATTGAATGCACAGGATTGTGGGATATCAAAGACTGAAAATACATCTATGCTGCTTTCAAAAATTGATCAGTTGAAGGCATCTCAGAAGACAGGAAGTGGATTCGGGCAAGCCTTGGTACCTTTTTTACCTTGAAATGTATCCTCCGAAGTCAGCATTTTCAGTTTTCGGATGCAGCCAGTGTGTCTGATGTCCAGAGCACTGCAGCACCAGAACGGAAATTAAGAACCAATGCCCTGTCAGTAACAGCATTACAACCTCCTGCCTAATATAGTGTAGGTCCCCTTGTGCTGCCAAAACAGCTCTGATGCATCGAGGCATGGACTCCACTAGACCACTGAACATGTGCTGTGGTTTCTGGCAGCATGACTTTAGCAGCAGATCCTTTAAGTCCTGCAAGTTGTGAGGTGGGGCCTCCATGGATCGGATTTGTTGGTCCAGCATATCCCATAGATGCTCAATCGTATTGAGATCTGGGAAATTTGGAGGCCAAGTCAACACCCTAAACTCATATCAGGTTCTTCAAAACATTCCTGAACTATTTTTGACAACTACAGGGAACAACAGAGAGATTGTGCTATGACAGCGGAGCAGAAAGTTACATGACAGATGAAAAACTGTACACTTGTTACCCCATATGTTCAGTTTTGTGAACCACTCACAACTCGCATAAAAAGTCAAGTATAAGAAAACTGCCACAAATCATTCAGGTTTTAATTTAATCTTCCACGCCCTGAGCTCACTAAATTGATGAGTGAGCATTATTACACTAAACAACGCAAACTTTCTCAAAACAAACATGTAAAAGACTAACAAACCAATAAACTGCAAAAAATTATACACCTAATGTTACTGTACATGCAGACTAAATATATTTTTTTTAAATATAGCCATTTTCTTACTTTTTATCATATGTAATTTGATTTTTATAATGCTGTCAGAGAGCAAACAACTACTTTTGCCTGCAGCACATTTATGCATAATACCTTCTTTTTAATTAAAAATGTATTTCCAATAAATGCTTTTGGCTTGAAATCCATACAACAATGAAGTATTTATATAAAATCTACATATGATTATTCAGGGTCATTATTAATTTATGCATAAATTTGAATATGCATGCAGAATTTTAGATCGCTGTGTGATATGCCAGTGATTTATTCTAATTTACAATTTGTTTTTTTTTTACAGTAGAACTGGAGATGTTTGCCCCCAAACTATTTCCAACCCAGCATTATCCAAATGATAATATGCACTAAATATGCAATAAATAAATATGCACACATGCTTCATATTTCAATACGATACAATTCAGTACCTTGGCAATACTTTGAATTATGATAACATTCAGTTTATGGTTACTCTGTTGCCAGCCTTGTGTAAAATTTGTAAATCTCCATTTGCTAATTTTATCTCTTTTCCTTTAGTACACATATCCAAATAACCACATAATATGTTGCACAATGAGTTTTCTGGTGAATACATTTGGTGGTTAAACTGTTTTCATGTAGTGTATCTGTAAAGAGTAGTCCACTGAACGGCAAGTTGAAAAACCCATGTGCAGTTTATTTACAAAGTGATCCAAAATCCAAACATAATCCAAACAGAGACTTGACGTAGCATGGACAGACTAGACTCACCGACAGCATGTACATACATTCAATACACGACGAGAGACAATGGCAACATGATGGCTACTTATAGCAAACAATAGAGGTCACATGACAAGAACCAACCAATGAGAGACAGGACACATGACTAGGATAACCAATCAGAACATGACACAATGAACAGAGGAGCCAATAGCAGGAATACAAGAGGGCAAGGGAAGCTTGACACTAACAGCATAAATCAAATTACAAAATAAAAGACATGAAAACAAGAACATGAAACAAACCCCAAAACCCCACGTTACATGTCCCCCCCCTCTAAGGGCGGCTCCAGACGAACAAAACTCAAAACAGACCTGGAGGGTGGTAGAGCAAAGGCGGAACGGGGCGAGGGATGGAGGGCCAGGCCCATGCAGGGGAACAGAGTCAGAATCGCAGAACAGTGGTGGGCCTGGGCTGTGGAGCAGAGGGCAAGACCATGATGGGCCATGGTGCAGTGGCAGACAGTGATACACTGGAGGACCTGGGCCGTGGAGCAGTGGCAGTTAGTGATACACTGGAGGACCTGGGCCGTGGAGCAGTGGCAGACAGTGAAACACTGAAGGACCTGGGCTTTGGAGCAGTGGCAGACAGTGAAGCACTGGAGGACCTGGGCCGTGGAGCAGTG